GCGTCTGGCGAACTCTGCGGTGCCTGGCGTCAGATCAGGCTTAGCCTTGTCGATGATATCATCGAGAGGCTGGCACGGTTCACGTCCCCAGTGTAACCGGTAGGGACTGAACCCTGTCGAGGAGTGGACAGACATGTTATACATGAGTTGTGCCCTCGCTAAGTGAAGATCCCAGTCCTGTTGATCTGGAGAGGTGACAGGACGCAGCAGCTGGAACAAGACTTGGTTCATCACCTCAGCCAATCCATTGGCTTCAGGATGATGACCAGATGTCATGTCCAGACGTGAGTGCAAATAGTCCTTGCAGTAGGACTGTCACTCATCCCTGCAAAATCTGGGGTCACGATCACTGACGATAGAGGTGGGCGGTCCATGGTGTGTGACCCACCTCTCAGAGAAGGCTGCTCTCACAGCCGGTACCCTCGCTACCTCTGGCAAGGGGATGAACTCTGCGTATTTCGAGAACCTGTCCACGCAGACCATCACCTGACGCATGCCACGAGGGGTGGTCTTGCCTAGATCTGTGAAGTCTATCGACACAGATTGGGCAGGGCCATCAGGTATGGGTAAGGGTTTGCGCAGTCCCAAAGGAGGTTTACGCTGAACCTTGTTCCTTTGGCAGAGCTCACAGGTGTCCACATAACGCAGCATCTCACTCCGCATCTCCTTCCAGAAGAAGCGCTGCGACAGGGCTGCATAAGACTTTAGGAACCCGAAGTGTCCACGGGCATCATGACACTCTGATAGCAGCAGTGTCCTGAGCCGCTGGTCCTGGGGAATGCACAAGCGCTCCTCACCTCTGCTGTAGGTATACAGCAGGTCTGAACTCAGAACATAGCCTGGTTCAGAGTTAGGATCTGCTTGCAGATTCCTGACAATGGGTCCAAAAGTCTCATCCTGAGGCAGTAGACGAGCAATGGTATGACGAGTCTCCTCTCCAAAGGAGTGAGTAGAGGAGATCAGAGCAAAAGAGTCAGGCCTACGAGAGAGGGCATCTGCCACCTTGTTGTAGCAGCCCTTCTTGTGTTTCAGTTCAAAGTCAAACATGTCTATGAACTGAATGTACCGTGCCAGTTTATCATTCAACTCTCCCTGGGACTTCATCCACTGTAGGGTGGAGTGATATGAAAAGATCTTGAAGTGCCTGCCCAGGAGAAAGTGCTTCCAATGTTTCAGGGCACAGACAAGAGCATACAACTCTTTCTCGTAGGTAGAGTCCTGGAGCTTTTGAGTCTTGCTCTTCTTACTCATAAACTCTACAGGCCGTAGACCATTCCCATCATCCTGCTGAAGTACTGCCCCAATGCCATACTGACTGGCGTCAGTGGTCAGGATAAATGGCAGAGTGGGGTCAGGTAACTTCAGGACAGGTGCACGAGTCAAGGCCTTCTTGAGTCGTGTGAAGGCCAGCTGACAGTGGAGGGACCAAAGAAAGGGAGTGTCCTTCTTTGTTATAGGTTAGTCAGGGGTGCAGCCACTGCAGAAAAGTTCCTGACAAACTTTCTGTAGTAGGAGGCCAAACCCATAAAGGACAAAACATCCCTCACTGTCTGAGGCTGAGGCCACTCGTGAATAGCAGCAATCTTGGCAGCTTCAGGAGCCAGGCCATCTCCAGAGATTACATGACCCAGATAGATGACAGAGGGAACTCCAAAAGAGGACTTCTCTCTGTTGATCTTATAATGGTTGTCACGTAACGACTGAAGAACTAGAGCCAAGTGCTCCGCATGTTCCCTGGCAGTTTTGCTGAATACCAGGATGTCATCCAGGTAGACAACCATAAACTTGTCCAGGTAAGGCCTGAAGATGCGGTGCATCTCTGTCTGGAAGGTGCCTGGGGCATTGCAAAGTCCAAATGGCATGACCAGGAACTCGTATGTCCCATACCTGGTCTTGAAGGCTGTCGTGTAGACATCCTCCTCTGCCATCTCAATCTGGTGGTAGCCAGACTTGAGGTCGACTTTGCTGAACACTGTGCAGCCCTGCACCATGTCCAGGAGGTCATCGATCCTAGGAAGTGGCTCAGTACTCTTCCTAGTGATCTTGTTGAGACCCCTATAGTCAATGCACATCCTGAACTCGCCGTTCCCTTTGGGTACAAAGAGAACAGGTGCACCGAATTCAGATGTGTTGGGTCTGATCCAGCCTTTGCTGGTCAGGGTCTCAAGCTGCTTTCTAAGCTCCTCAAGCTCAGCAGGGGACATCCTGTAGACGCGACCCTTAGGAGGGACCGCTCCAGGCAGCAGCTCGATGTGATGCTTGGTTGGCCGGTTGGGAGGTCCAAAGGGCTCCTGCATCAGATCAGCATACTGATCTACCACCTGCTGTATCTCAGGAGGACAGGAAACAGGGGGAGCATCTGTTTGCTTGACCAAAGCAATAAACAGGCGCTCATGGTGGTACTGGCGAGAGAGAGCATTGAACTCCCTCACTCTCAGGCAGTAGCAGGAGGTCTTAGGGTGGTGTTCAGCAGCAATCATGCATTGCTGATACACCCCCTAGCTGTCTGGTAGTTCAACTCTAGGGATCTACCAGTCGATCCTTGGGTTGACTGCCCTCAACCACTGCATGGAGAACACCAAGTCAAAGGGCAGCTCAGGGAAGACATAAAAGTTCAGACTATGTCTGACTTTCCCAGCAGTGCCAAAGGTCACAGGGATACCCTTGACCTTCTCCTTGATGCTGATCACTGTAGAGTCACCAATTCGCACTTGCAGCGGCTGCTGCAACTGCTGAACTTTCATACCCAGATGCAGTTTTCTTACTGCACTGGGAGATATGAAGTTCCGGGTGGCTCCACAATCCAAAAGTCCAGTGATCCTGGTGCAGTTGATCAGTGGCCGAAGCATGATGAGTTCAGACAGGCTCTTCTTCTTCTGCTCTTTCAAGTGGAAGAAGAAGGCAGCAATGGACTGAAGCTCATCCTGCTCCGGGTCCTGATCCGGGTCAGGATCCTTATAGCAGAAGGATGCTGCCCGCCCAGGCCCCAACCTCTGACAGGAGGAAGGGTGCCTTCCCTAGAGGCAACAGAAGGGGAAAGGCATCCCTTACTCATGTGGGATCTGCCTCAGGATCAGATACCGATTCACAGCCTGATGTGCCCGGATCTGCTGCTGAGACAGATGTTGCAGCAGTAGGTCCATCGGCACTGAAGACTTCATCGCAAGACCTGTTCTTCATCAGGGTGGTTGGCGCTGGCCTCTGGGAGGCTGTTCTGATGCAGCGCTACTAACTGGGTGTAGGATAGAGAGTGGGGTGTGAGTTCTGAGTGTGGCGAGATACTGGAACAAACTCTGTTACGATAATTGTGTGAGTGGTTCATCATCAGTGACAGTTTCAATTGTGATCTTCGCAGGTTCTTTCTTGTGATTGGTTGTTGGGAGTTGTGTCAGAGAGCGAGAAACACTGTGTGTCTTCTCCCCTGCTGTGCATGTATGGGCATGTGTGAGATTGTCTGTGCGTGAGTGGTGAGAAAAGTCGTCAGACAACCAAGTTCATAATAGTTGGTATCAGAGCGAGATTGGAATTGGAGCACTGAGGGTTGAGCGCACTGAGGCATCTTCTTCATCCTGGCGATATACTGGCAGGAGTTTCATGGCGATTCATCTTCCCCAGTACTGAGTCAGCAGGGAAGAAGATTTTCAGCGGTGAATTCAAGTGTTCAGAAGTTGTACTGAACAAGCACACTGAGCCTGTCAGAGTGCTTGGCAAGAAGTGGGACTATAGGGCTAATTCGCCATAGCCAACCCTGAGGGTGATACAGCGAATTACCCCAGAGTGGCGAGTTACCCCTGAGGACATCAGGATCCTGTGGCGCTGCACCCCTTCACTCCAGATACCCTGTATCTGGTCCTGTGGCACCCAATTCGCCAACTCCAAAATATCTCGCCACAGAGCCAGGTAGCCGCTGATGCTAAAAATAGCCCCTGATGGGGTTATTTTTCTTGGAGATTGATACAGGATGTCAATCTCATCCAGCGCCACCCAATGTGTTTCCCGAACTGGAACTCGTAGAAGTTCCACTTTGGGAGAAAGATCTTCCAAAGCCACCTTTGGGACCTATCTTTTGCGTAACCTTCGTGTTCTTACATCTAAACTGTTGGTGGCCATACTCGTCACAGTTGACACAAGCACCTTGCTAATACCGGCTAGACCCGCCCACACCCAAGTCGGACTCTTGTTGGGGTTTTGGGCCTGTCCTTTACTCTTTGGTTGGCCGCCCTTGCCGCGGCCGCCTGCCTTAACTTTTACCAAGGCGGCGAGGCTGCTACCCTAAGCTAACTCCTCGTCATCCAACTCTGAACTGTCCACAACGTCGGATACATCATCGCTCGCAAATTGATTCCCATTGGAATCAACCATCATCAATCGACTACCGTTTTTCTTCCACTCTTGTGGACTCTTCTTCTTTCTTCCATCACTGGAGGGTTGTTGAGCTCCTCCTGCCATAGCCTCTAAGTCTACGGCTATCTTGCTGAAGGAATCCAACGTGTGATACTCGATTTTGGCCTCACTGACCAATAAGTTTATAATGTATGCGGGAAGACATCTCAAATACATGGTCAATAGGACATGTGGATCATAGCGTAATGACTAGAGGGACCACAATGAGACGCTCTATGGCAGAGGTAAGTTCGCACACAGTCTTGTACCTCTTAGTGTCAAGTCGGGCCAACGCGCCAGTGGCCTGTTGGGCCTGCTACGAGTTGCACCATCGCGCTTCTACCAACTCCATAAAAATCCCTGAAGTATGGGTCTTCACCCAATCACTTATGTTTCTGCTGAATCACTTTGAAGCCACTAATCCATCTAACCATCATGATGTTGAACCTTCCAGATAGGATGCGACAGTGATCACCTCTTCCTCTACCAGCGTCCTCTTTGCTCTGACCCACAATGGAACCGTTCTCAACCAAGTGTAAAGAGCCTCATCCTTCTTATCACCTAAGAAGGTTGAGGGTGGCTTCAGTGGGGTTTTGGGGTACCAAGGCTGTTGTTGCCCGGCTGTTGTGTAGCACCAGCCGCTGTTCCAGAAGACGAAGAAGCAACAGTCTGTGTTGCTATTGCTGAAGTACCGCTTGGTGAACCGCTAAACTAAGACATAGAAGGACTCGTCATCACCGATGACGAAACCGGCGATGGGAAAACTGGAAGCCGGAAATTGGGCCCACCTGTTGGAGATGGGAAGGCTCTTCCCATTCCTTGCATGGTGCTCAGTATCTGGTCAAGGGCGTCCTAGATAGCACCCAGTTTGTTGTCCATGTATGCATGAATGGAAAGAAGACCTGCCTTTAGGATCCGCGTGTTGTCATCCATGACAGCATCATCTAACCCTTCTTTAGCAGATTTGACTGCCTTCCTATTCTCTAGTCTAGCTTTCCTAGTTTTAATCTCATTCTCCTTTTCAGTAGCTTCCCTAAGTTCCTTCTCTAACCGTAAGCAGATCAACTCCACTTGTTGGAGTTCAATGGCTTCCCTAGTGTGTGGAGGTGGCGAGTTGTACTACGAGCCCTCCATCTGACTGGAAGAACTGCTTGTTGCCGCTGTGTTGCATGTGGTCTGCGAAGTGTGCGGCATGCCTACACTCATCTAACTAGATGTAGCTGCTGAGGTAGCAACAAAAATAGCCATAGCTGCTACAATGGTTGTTGCCGCTGCAAGCATTTGCTCGGTTGTCACGGACGCTTCTCTAGCCCTTTGTAAGTGTTCGGCTACTGCTTCCTGTCGCAAAGCCCTCTCTCCCTCAAGGGGTAAAGCTTGGTGCACTATTGGAATCCTAAGGGACTCCTGACGTGTCACCCTCCTTCCTGCAGATCTGTCCTCACCACTGCCTGGTCCACTCATCAGCTAGCCAGACGCTATCTGCACTACTGCCCTCACTGGGCCTACCACAGCGTGTGTCTGACTGGGTTTGAAAAATAAATAAAAATAAATAAATATTTTTGGGGAAGCATACCCTGCAGCCCTTCGGCCTTGTGCACTTCGGGAAGCACGCGAATGCACGCTGGCCTTCGGCCCTCTGCCTGCTGTTGGTCAAAACCAGCAAGGCCTTAGTCGGAGTGGTGAAATACTACATGGGGGCAGATCACCTATCGTATTGGGGACAGACGACTAAACGACATCTCGAAGCGCTTTAGGCTATTGATCAAGCGGTATCAACAGCATTCACACAAACTGTACACACGATCTATTCCTACCTTGATTAGTTTGACTCACAGCAATTTCGATCAGAACTAGCTATGGTAGAACACTACAGTGCTAATCTAGGTTGTCTGTTAGGTATCAGCAGTTTGTCACCGACTAATCAAAAATAAAAATAAATCGTGTGAGCAGATGTATGCATAATGGGTGACAGTTGAGCCTCAATTGGAATCTCCCTCCCCTGTATCCAACGTGCCTGTCCGCATCATCAAGCAGCGGTGTCTAAGGTGTGCATTAATGACCCACCCCTGTGCCCCAGGAATATGCTTATGACTAGAGCTGCCCTTTCTTTATCCTCACATGCAACGAGCCTTACGTCTGACTGATATGGCTGATCAAGAGGCAGTTTAAGGACAGCCCCCAAGGTCCTAAGGAATAATTTAAAGTCGCGGACAGGACGACGATCACAACCAGTGGACAGTTCAAAACCGCGCCAGAAATGATTATAGACGGTCTGGTAAGCATCTACATAGGACTGGTCAGTCCGCACACCCCTCTATATATCAGCGTAGCAAAGAGCCTTAAAGGACAAAGCAGCATGGCCTACGTGTACTACTCCCATGGGTTGACATGGTGACCGTGACCCGTGCTTTGACCAGGGCCCTTGAGAGGCACCGCCCTCTCCTGCCAGATGCGCCACCGGGAAGAATGTCGTCTCTCGAGGTAGAGCGCTCACGACTCCTCACGAAAAGTGGACACTCAAGGTTGGACTCACTTCCTCAGGGTAAGAAGAGGTTCAGACGATAGATAAGGTAAGAAAACAACGTACCTGGAGATAGCTGCCCCCAACCACAGCTTTCTCACCAATTGAGCCAATGTGCATTTCGATGACCGCTCATAGCCTCGGTACCACCCACAATGCAGTGCAGTGCCACCTCAGCCAAAATGCCACATCGCGATGCTCTCATCATCATACATACATCCGTTGTCGCCACAGCTCCCAGGTTGTCGCCACAGCCTTCCTGCGACTCACCCCTCTACCCGGGTGTTGCACATTAAGCCAGCGCCAATGTATCCTCACTGCACAGAAGCACCGTCAGCGCACCAAGTAACAATGTCGCCGGCGACAGATAGGCGATCCCAAACTAGCTCCGACACCAAATTGCAAGGAAAATGAGCGAGAGTGATATGCAGAAAACAAAATTGCAAAACCACGCA